TACAAAGAATTAATGAATTGAAGTGTTGCTTATTTGAAAGAATAAATAAAATAGAGAAATCCTTAGCCAAACTTATCAAAAAGAAAAAAGAAAAAACTGAAATATATACAATAAGGAATGAAAAGCGTGAAATCACTACAGATCCTGTAGAAATTCAGCAGATCATCAATACCTACTTTGAAAATCTTTACTCTCATAAGATGGAAAACATGGAGGAAATAGACAAATTCCTAGATACATATGAATTACCAAAGTTGAATGAAGAAGATATAAAAATCCTGAATAACTCAATATCAGTCAGTGAAACTGAGAATGTACTAAAAAACTTGCCAGTGAAGAAAAGCCCAGGTCCTGATGAAATTACAGCTGAATTATACAAGAAATTTGGAGATGATTTAACACCAATTCTTCTCAAACTCTTTAATGAAATTGAAATGGAAGGAATTCTCCCCAACTCATTCCTAGTGATGAGTATTATCCTGATACCAAAACCAGAGAAATATCCAACCAAAAAAGAGAACTATAGGCCAATCTCCTTAATGAATATAGATGCAAAAGTTCTCAATAAAATCCTAGCAAACAGACTACAACAAATCATCAAGAAGATTATACACCATGACTAAGTAGGATTCATCTCAGAAATGCAGGGATGGTTCAATACATGCAAATCAATTAATGTAATACATCATATCAATACAGCCAAAGACAAAAATCACATGACCATCTCCACCGATGCAGAAAAAGCCTTAGATAAAGTCCAACACTCATTCATGATAAAAACCCTACAGAAAATAGGAATAGATAGTCTTTACCTCAGTCTGATCAAAGCCAGCTATGACAAACCAATGGCTAACATTATACTAAATGGTCAAAAATTGAAAGCTTTCACTTTAAAATCAAGAACAAAACAAGGATGTCCACTGTCACCACTGCTATGCAATATAGTTCTGGAAATATTAGCTAGACCAATTAGACAAGAGAGAGAAATAAAAGGAATAAGGATAGGAAAAGAAGAAGTGAAATTATCATATTCGCAGATGACGTGATACTCTACATAGAAAATCCCCAACTCCACCAAAAGGCTTATAGATTTAATAACCAAATTTAGTAGTGTAGCTGGATACAAAGTCAGTGCTCAAAACTCAATGGTATTCCTGTACACAAACAACAAACAGATTGAGAGAGAAACTAGGGAATCCATACTTTTCACAATAGCATCTAAAAAGACGAAGCACTTAGAAATCAATCTAACAAAAGAAGCAAAATATCTATACAGTGAAAATTACAGTGCTCTGAAAAGAGATCAAAGAGGATTTCAGAAAATAGAAAGATGTTCCTTGCTCATGGATAGGAAGAACTAACACTGTGAAAATGGCCATACTCCCAAAATTGTTGTGCAGATTCAATGCAATCCCAATTAAAATATTATTAGTATAACTCACAGATCTAGAGAAAACATTCCTAAATTTTGTCTGGAACCAGAAAAGCCCTAGAATAGCAAAAGCAATTCTGGGCAACAAAGGCAATGCAAGAGGCATCACAATTCCTGACTTGAAATTATATTACAAAGCTACTATGATAAAATCAGCACAGTACTGGCAAAAAGCAGACCTGAAGATCAAAGGAACAGATTAGAAGATGCAGACACACGTACAAACACACTCAGCCACCTTATCTTTGACAAATGGGCCAAACAAGTTCACTGGAAGAAAGATAACCTCTTCAATAAATGATGCTGGAAAAACTGGCTTTCCACATGCCGAAGTCTAAAATTAGACCCATGTCTTTCACCATGCACTAAACTAAAGTCAAAATGGACCAAGATCTAAATATTAAAACAGAAACACTAAATCTATTGGAAGAGAAAGTAGGCAAAAATCTTGAAGATGTAGGAAAAGGCAGAGAGTTCATGAACAAAAACCAACTTGCACAGGAAATACTTCAAAGAATCAACAACTGGAATCTCATCTTATTGAAGAGAGTTTGTACAGCAAAAGAATCACCAATAGTAAGGACAAAGCCCACGAATTGGAAAATATTTTAGCCAACTGGCCCTCAGACAAAGGACTTCTATCTAGAACATATAAAGAATTTAAAAATCAGCCCCCCCCAAATTCAAAGACCAAATCCAAAAATGGGCATTTGAGATGAATACACACTTCTCAGATAAAGGAATACTAATGGCAAATAAATACATTTAAAAATGTTCATCATTAGTCATTTGAAAAATGCAAATTAAAGCAACACTGAGATTCCATTTCACCCAAGAAAGAATGGCTATCACTAAGAAATCAACCAATAACAAATACTGGAGAGACTGTGGGGAGAAAGGAACCCTACTCCACTGCTAGTGGGAATGTAGATTGGTGAAATCGCTGTGGAAATAGGTTTGAAGATTCCTCAGAAAACCAGGATTAGAAGTCCCTCTTAACCCAGCTGTTCCCCTTCTGGGTATTTTCTTAGAAGTATTAAAGACATCATACCACAGCAATATATGTGCACCCATGTTTAAAGCAACACAATTTGTTATAGCTAAATCTTGGAAATAACCCAAATGCCCTTCAGCTGAGGAATGGATAAAAAAGATGTGTCATTTTTATACAATGGAGTATTACTCAGCTATAAAAAAAGATAAACTTGAGGCTTTTGTAGGCAAATGGATGCAACTAGAGACCGTACTCATAAGTGAAATAAATCGGATCCACATGTGTAAACTTCATACTGTCTGCCTGATGTAGGAACCTGAAGGAGTAAGTAAAACTCAAAGCATACAATAGATAATATGAAAGGGAAAGAAACTGCTCAAAGGAAGGAATGACTGGGATGAGGGAAAGAAGGAAGGCAAAAGATAGATAGATAGATAGATGATAGACAGACATAGAGATATAGATATAGATAGATAGATATGTATATAGAAGAATAGCAGGGATAACTGTAGAGCTGATGTCTGATGGTATATTGAAAGGAACAGTTAATGCTTAAAGTTTTTTATATTTTGACCAATTTTGCACGCTTATATCTGGTAATCTGAACAACAGATTTGAAGACAACAGTATACCATGGAACAACCACTGGTGAATTCCTACCATCTTGTCTAGTGAAACTGTATTACCTCTAATGTTTTATCTAATAATTATTTTTTATTCTCTTTAATGGTTTGAGCAATCTTTCATTCTTACATCTGGTAATCTGAACAACATAGTTAAAGATAATAATATGGGATATAACAACCACTGTTGATTCCTATCATTTTGCTTTGAAACCCTGTATCATTTTTAATGTGCTTGCTTTGTGTGTTTATGTTTGTGATGTTGGTATGCTGCTATTGTTCTTTTTTT